CAGGGAGCTCAAAGCCCCACTGCATTTTACAAACTTGTTACCGAGCTCAATGTTGACTTCATCATAAGGGATGACTATTACGGACCCCGTCTGATAGAAAAGTGTGGGATATGTCTGTTGTATGGCAAAGATGTTGAGAAGATGATAAAGCAGAGAGCTTTGTAGATCAAGCCGATATCCTTAAATTCAAAATTTCATTTTATTTGAGCTGTTTGCAAAACTTGTGGCTGAGGATGCTTTTGAGTTTGTTAGGCTTAGGGATGTCTTTCTTGTTTTAACCCTTTGCCCTCTCCATCGCAAAGCTTTTTGGCTGAGGATGCTTTTGAGTTTAGTTTGTCACGCCCCATGTAAGCCAAGTAATTTTCTTCCTTGAAATGAAGTATTAAATTTGGCATCAATTGGATTTCTGCTATAAGTTGGAATGGCTTCATTCTTAATCATAAAAGGGAAATTGGCACCTTTCTTCAGTTTGCATTTCTTAAATGAAATACGGTTTTCTATCAACGTCCCCATAAAGCAATTGCAAAAGATTAAAAATTTGGAGGGAGATGAAGAAAGCAGGGCTACTGTTGGGTTCAATGCCTATCATAGAACACGTACTTAAAAAATTCAACAACAAAAAAAATATATGGTACAAAAGAAGAGCAAGGATCACATAAACATTCTTTTGACCCCCAAAAAAAATCATATAAACATTCCTGCCTTACGGCAAGAATCATCAGAGATAATGAAAAACAAAACAAAAAACAGCAAAAGATGTTCCAGTAGCTTCATTTACAAGTTTCAAAATCTGAATAGGGCTATATTACGCCTGCATTCTGTTATTCCAATGCCGATGCTGTTGCTACAAAGGCCTTCTATGTACATTGTGTGTCCTTGTTATGACTACCCTTCAGTGTAACAAAATCACTCTTGCGCGCACAAGTAACCTATCAAAACAAACCAGCAAAGAATTTTGGTGACTTATTCGTTTGGACAAATCTGCTGATTTTTAACTTGCAGAGGTGGAGATCCAGTCTAGTCTTCTCCTAATTAATTCAGTCTAGTCTGAAAAGAACTCTTCGAGTTCTGGTTCATCAGGTTTAAGTAGAAGACCTGGATCTGAAACTCTTGCACTAGGCAGCACTTTACCCAGAGAATGATTTATATTCATTTCCGTATAATCAATCTCAGACCAATCCTGCTCATCCTCAGTTATTTGCTCGTCTGTCACGTAACCACTGTCCTTTTTCGTGTCATCCTCCTTATGCATGTTCTGGCTGTCATAACTTACATTCGGAGGAATTGGAACTTCGTTGGACCTTGTGCTAGATGCACTACATATGCAGGCTGCTGGGTTTTCATGGAACTCACCCCTGCCAGGCTTTATCTCATTTGGCTCTCCCATGAATCCAATTTGAATAGTTCGAAGCTTGAAGGCAAATTCTTCCCAAGTCATGTTATTACGATTCATGAACAACGGAGACAGTTTCTTAGCATTTGGACGGAATGTTGGTTTATGACCAAAGTATCTCCTGCATCAGTAAACAAACTAGTTATAAACCAAAACATGATCAAATCAAACCCTTCCACCAGAAGACAGAAATGTATCCTTGAACTCAAGTTTTAATACCTTCGACCAGCTAACATTCTAGCCATATTGCCATTGTTGTTGGTGATGAAAACATCACTTTCATCACAAACAATAAAGTCAAGTGCTGCCATTCGAGAAGAGAAGGATGAAAATGGTGTCAACTCCTCTTTACTTGCTATAGTCTCTTTTGAGTGGAAGTGCGGGAAAAGTTTCTTCAGTGGTGCCAATGTCTCTTCACCTCCGTATACTTCACCCGATGCCACATACAAGTGAATATCACTTCCAAAACCCAGTGCTCTAAGCATGAGGCCAACTTCCTCTGGAGTTAGCGGGCATCTGCCAGGTCTTCGTACCTTGTCAGGGTTGCTTGCCTGCATGCAATATAACCCCAAAATATCAAACGTAGTTATAATACAGAGATACAAATTATATAAAACAGGTCACTATTGAATGACATCATTCAAGACATCAATGAAGCCTTACATGTAAATTTTTCCACCTTTTCCGAATTTTCCCAAGTTCTTTCCTTTCTTTTTATCCTCCACCAAAATCACATCCAGAAAATGCAAGCATATCAGGCTCAAACCTATAACAAGGTCCTACCAATATCAGAAACTTTTTCCTATGGAATCCAAAAGAATTTGGAAAACTCTAGCACAAAACCTATTCCACCTATCAAAACAACCTAAATAGAGGTTTGTGCTGTACAACCCACCCATACACATAGCATGCTAAAGAAAACAATATTCAATCATTTTACAAGATAAAACACACATTAACTCTACAAAGAAATTATCTGCACAAGCAAGTATTCTATCGAAGGCATAACTTGCTCACAGTATATTAGTATGTACAATAGGAAAAAAAAAAATACTCAAGCAGCTAAATTTTTTTTGCAATTTACCTCAAATGCAGGGCAATGAAATGCTTGCTTTTCATCCTCATTCTTTCAACCAACGTTTTCCCCATTTCATTAATAAGGTCAGTAAACTTCAAGGCATGATAATTTGCTCTACACCTAAGCTTTTGTAAATTTGAATCCAACTTATTTGAAAGCCTGTAATCAAACTTTGTGAGCTGAACAGCCTGCACATTATAAAGCATAAAAAAACAACTGTAAATTCTACATAACCTGAAAAGGCACTCATTCAAGCACCAGAAGTTTTTCTTCCTTGGTTATATGCACCAGCATATCATAATTAACGAATTCCTTACAAAAAGTGGTAGGTTCTCCTGAAAGACACTTACATGCTTTTTATTAAGAACAGGCACTAAACGATTCTGGTAGCATTTTGCATTGCACTTCCTTGGGACACGCATGGTATATGGACTCATTGGTTTTCCTCCCTTTGTTGGAAGCTGTTTAATGATTCCAACATCTTTTGACAGAGATGATATAAACCTGTCTACATCAAAGATTTCATCAAAGTTGCTGCACCAAATACCCGAATAACAATATTAATCCACCGACTGTTTTGCTTACATTGACCTTCACAGTAGTTTTTTATCTGTGATATGGTGAAACTAACCTGGAATCCTTCCAAAATGATTTCTGGTCCAGCTTGGGAACAACAAGAGTAGCATTCAAGATATAAGCTGCAACAACAGCATCAGTTATCTGTAACAGAATCAGGAAAGGAAGCATCAGATGCTGATTCAGCAGCAAAAACATGCAAGATTACGAACCAGTCTTATCACTCATGGAATGAAAAAGTTACAAAGTACAATCAACTAGTCCTATACAAGAGCTACTTGTAATCCAAAATTAGACTAAGAAAGAAGCAAAGCAAACCACAATGTTCTTTAAACTAAATTTCTTTTAAGCCTTTACATGAACAAAACAGAACGATAAGTTAGCCTTAAATGGAAGAAAACTAAGATGGGATTTGATTGGATTACTATGCAGCTCCAGCTCAATCAAAAAACTAACCCCTGTTCTTTGTTGGTTTAAGCCTCCACTAGTAGCAATCAACAAATAGGAATTCGAATGTGTTTTCACATCAGCATCTGCAACATTGAAGGCATTGGTTTTGTAAATCAAAAGCCTCAGATAAGTTAAGAGCCTAATAATCAAAATTAAATTCTCCTATAAATTCATCACAGATCATAGAATCGATTCAATTAGGATGTCATGATTCATGAAATCAACAAAACAAGACTTCAATCAATGCTGCTATGCATATTCCAGTTTAAGAAGAATTATCAAGTTTTAATTGAATCTCAGTCTGAATATCAAATTTCAAAAAATATGGGTTGAGAAATTATCAAGTTAAGAGAAACTAGAAAGATTCTTCATTAGATAGAAAGAGAGAAAGGAAAAAGAGCAGAAATGAAATAAGTAATATCTAAATACTTTACTTGCAAAGTTATCGGCGGCATTGCTGCAACCATGGAACATATCCGATTTCCTTGTGCTCCATAAATCTCGACCTGAGCTCCCTCCACTCTTCTAAAAATAACAAAATCAAAACGAAAATAAATTAAATTGAATTGTACACAAATCAACATCTTTTATTGGAGCTCCATTAAATTAAATATCGTACCGGAACACGAAACGTGGCCGTTTCATCCGAGTTCGACCG